GAAAGAGATAAGGCCTTTACGCTCAAGCATAAACTCCTTCCAGGCACGAATGGAGTCACGTCTTTCTGACATTGAGGCTAAACTGTCGCAAGTAAACGTTGTCGACAGCATTGACACTAATATCTCGTGTGTCAATTCCGTTCAAAATTTAAAGAGTTCTGGAAGATGGCAGTTAGACAGCGACGCCATCATGTCATCGTTTGAGGCGAAACTTTCCCAAGACGAATATCGTCAGGATGTGTCGGCGGAGCTGTCTAGTTTGGTTGACGGGGACGTGCAAACCTCCGTTGGTCGCATAATGAATGTGTTGTTGGAGCCGAACTACAGCTCACATTTTTCATGGGCTGGCACTAAGGAGAAAAAGAAATTCAAAGACACGAAAACGTGTAACCTTGTGATATGTAGGTGACATTTTTTTTCATTGTTGTCTCTCTAGGAACTATTAGCAGTTTACATAAACTTGATAATGCTGACCGACGTACCACAGTGAAGGCTATCACGGCTTCAATTCAACGTTGGTTCCATAACAGTCGGGACAGACTGAAATCGAGAATTAGAAGAAGGTGGCGTTCCCCATTGGTAGGTGCCAATTTTTTCCTAACTTCATTTTTCAGATCAACGTGGATGCCAACAAAGAAAACCTACCAGACGCCGAAAGCACACGGCTGAATTTTCCTGGTGACTTATAGGATGTTCTACTTCAGAAAGTTATCTGAAGATTGTAAATTTTTTTGCCAAGATTATTAAATATATTTTCAATTAAAATCAACTGCTTTTGGTTAATGTGAGTCGTTGAGCTACTGCAAGTTTATTGTTTTTTGAGACGACCTGTGTGCATAATAGATTTAACTCTGATTTAATTGTCGATTAATAGTTAAATGAGGAACCGTAGACACGTTATCCCAGGTCGCAGTTAGTCATATTAATTTAGGGCGCATAGCATACTTTTTGGGGCAGACTTAGGGCAAATTGCAGACTTTTCGGGGCAGACTTAGGGCAAATTGCAGACTTTTTGGGGCAGACTTAGGGCAAATTGCAGATTTTTTGGGGCAGACTTCGGGCAAATTGCAGACTTTTCGGGGCAGACTTAGGGCAAATTGCAGACTATTTGGGGCAGACTTCGGGCAAATTGCAGATTTTTTGAGGCAGACTTCGGGCAAATTGCAGATATTTTGGGGCAGACTTCGGGACAGTGTCCCACGTAAGCAGATTTACCCGAAGATTTTGCCCCGAAAAGTCTGCAATGCGCCCGAAGAAAATGATAGCTGGGTGTCCCAGGATATCAATACAGCCTATTTTCGTGTGAACAGTCTCTTTGACAAAATAATTCTCTCAATGCTTGGAAATCAACTGCAAATGATATCAGAATCGTTTGTGGCTACCTAAGTTATCATTTAGATGTGCTTTTCACTCTATCTGTGGTTGGACAGGAATTATGGTAAGTTGAAAGGTTATCTCTAGGTGGATTTCATATATATTGGCACTGATTGGTGCAGTGTACTATGGGTTATGTGAATTAAATGTACAAAAATATCTCAACTTTAATAACGTTGTGCCATTGTGTACTAAGCTGACTGATAGGATAACAAACGAAGGTGGTTGTCACGATTATTGCAAGTACAGTGCAGTGGAGAAGGCAATTACTCGTTTAAGTTTCCTTGTTGTTCCAATTAATGCACTAAATCATTACACGGTATGATTGCACGCATGAGTCGCGGTGATTATGAGAACTGAATCTATTCAGCTTTATTATCATTATTATGAATCTATTGTCTGTTTTACAATTTCCACTGACTGTATACTTAATGCTGCAATATTTTTGATCACCAATAGTGGAGATGAATTTCCCCTGAGATTTCCATTTAGACAAAGCAGTACAGATGCGCTGTGACGATTGCATTTTCTAGTTTGCATTATATGACATTATTATCCTCATCAACACAACAGGTCTGTGTACTTTACAATAGTTTAAGTGTTTCTCTATGTCGTTAACACTGAGCATAGCTGTTTGGAGTTCAGGCATGTTCAGCTTATATTTGATGCCTATAGTCTCCTAAATGTGAAAATGTGATTTCTGTAGGATTCACAAAACCTTGTGGACTAGACGTTACTGAGATTGTGGATTAATTTCTAAGTTATACATTTGCAATACTTCATTTCATGTAAAAGTATTTAGCGTGAAGTTGATCTGCAAGTAAGCTTGATGAGAGAATGACGCCTCAATAGTATGGATGTTCCGGAGATTGTCTTGAAATTCGCGTATAATCCTCAAATACAGGAAAACATATGATGTCTATTTATGCATACAGCGTCAACATAAATATCACCTGTAGACTACAGATACATTTATCTGCATGAGATATTACTTAGTGTTAACAGAATCAGTGTATTCATAGTATATGCTAATATGTAGAATTATCTCTTGTTAACTTCATGTTATGCTAGTTCTTACATGTACTTTATTTTTTCCAGGTGTACGGAGGTTGCCGAATATAAAATCAGCGGAAATATCATCATAACTGGGATAGATCGTACACTCACCAGATCGTAGTGTTTTATCCGCTTTGAAAACCGTTTTGCAATCCATCGAACGGATGTTAACACTGGCTCTATTACGGGCAGTCCTAGTTCATGTATTTGGATCTAGTACATCAAGCAATAATAAGCATATGTAACACTTACCCTTAAGAATTCCAGTTTTTTTTAGTTCCCCAAAATGCACACAAGCACAACAGATTCATACTTTTCATGCGGCTCAACCTTATTTGACTTAGATTCTCTCACAATACATTTTTTAAGTGATAGCAGACACACTGATGGTATATTCACATTCTCAAAAAGCTTCAAAGCTTTTTCAACTTCAACCCAGGTTCTAAATTCTCCAGGATTATGTTCTTTGAAAACCTTGCTAATATCAACTTTGATCGTGCCCTTCTCACCAGATTTACTGGTAAATTGTTGCATGCTGTAGACATAAACGTGAAAGACATTAGTTTCCCAGATTTCTACATGTTAAATAACCAAATGAGCCAGCAACAAAACCTGCAACCAACAAATGGACTGGAAACAACTGCTTCTACCAGCCAAACATCTTCATGTGCATGATTTCCATTGCCAATTCATTAACAGCTGAAAACCAACTAAAACACTGAAAGCCGCATAAATACAAGGTATGAAACAATTACACCGAAATGAATGCACTGACCTAGTAGTGAAAACGACAAAGTTTAAGAATGGAGTCCCAAGAGATGCGAACGCACAATGACCTAGAGCCGGCCAATAAGAAAATAGGAGGAATTTTGCATAAAATTTAACGTATATTTACACAAAAATGCATAAAAAAAACATTAAACGGATTATATTTCTCTGATATGACTTAAAAATACGTTCCAGTTGCGATGAAGAGTATCAGTTGCTAATTTGGACTAGTTTCTGTAGATGTATTCACCAATTGGACTGAAGGTGTGCTGTTTTGGGAATGGTTCATCTCTCTTCTCTTGCCGTGTAGTCCTCTCCTCAGCCCTCGGTTTAGTTACTATGGTTCCAGTAAGAGCATTGGCGACTACATACAAGGGAAATAAGGATAACAAAAGAACTTGAAATAAACGAAAAATCTTTTCCTAATCGCTACCCTAACCCTAACCCCTAAACCATAACCCTATCCTAAACCCTAACCCTAAACATAACCCTAAACCCTAACCCTAACCCTAACCCTAACCTAACCCTAACCACAATACTCGCCTTAACCCCTATCCTAACCCTAACGAGATGTTAACACATTGTCCAAACAGTAATAAAAGTGTTATCTGGGTGAAACTTGCTCCTTATTTGATGAATAGGGTTGATATTTCAGCTATGATAATGACAGGAACCGTTAGCCAACGACTAGCATGCGTTCAAGGTCATTTGAGCGTTGAAGGTTTTGGGACCCTATTCTTAAACATCGCCGTGAAAACTTTCCAAACCAAAAAATAATTCATTTTAACAGCAACGGAAACAAAAAATGAGGTGAAACGCAACATTTGTGAACAATACGCAACAAGATAAGCCGTGTATAACGGCAGGATAAACGGAACAACAAACGCGTACACGAACAGCTACGGAACTGCAACCCAACATGGCCGACTAACATGGACGAAAATGACCTTCGAGCGTCTCACTCCCCCAATGACCTTGATAAGTTACGGATAATTTCAGCCCAGTTGGCTGGACGTATTTATCACGTACTGTTGAAGTTCCGCTTGGAAATTTTTTTTTGCCAATAATTTTTTATAAAATTGTGGTATATGTTATCTAGATTGAGGGAAATTCCCATTTTTCGGCTAGTTATGTTGGTGTCCGCGTCATGTGATCCGCGCGCTCCTTGAATAAGACGTGCTTTTCCTCCCTAACCGGAAATATCCAATTTTGTGAATTATTCGTTCGGGAAGCCTGATCTTCCTATCCGGCGAATTTTTATTCAACCATTTCTTCCTCGCCGAGCCTGTGTGTGGTACTTCCCGCAGTCTCGAACTACTGCCAAAGCTTCAGGTGCTACTTCTGTAGCAACACCCTCCCAGCTAGCATTTTTTTCGGGCGCATTGCAGACTTTTTGGGGCAGACTTAGGGCAAATAGCAGACTTTTTGGCTAACTTAGGGCTCATTGCAGACTTTTTGGGGCAAACTTTAGGCAAATTGCAGACTTTTTGGGGCAAACTTAGGGCACATTGCAGATTCCGATGAAAACTTAGGGCGCATTGCAGACTTTTCGGGACAACCTGATGAACGGTTATTGGCTACAAAACAACCAATGGGAGTAACCCTGATGTACTTCCTCAACCAATGACAGTTAACTTTTTAAAACTGCGTTACAATGAATCTGAATTAGTGATTAGTAATACATAATTTAAAATAATAAACTCTTTTTATATAAACAATCAATTAAATGTACTTTCACTATCTGAATACATCACCAAAGGCTCCTACCTGAGAAATGTTTTACTGCACTGAAATCCTTCGAAGCGGCGGAATCCACCATTTTCATTTCCTTTGTTGTGAGTTGGCGTGTTTGTCACCCTTCTTTTTAACGAAGTTTTCCAAGTAATTACTTGCGTAGTGAGACGTTTTATATTGCGACTTTAACAGTAGCGGCCATTTTTATTTTTAGGCATAGCGTATAAGTTGTGTAGACTGCAGGAATCCGTTTTTTAACCGTTTTTCCAATTTCTTCCAGGTAACATGAGCTCTAACATTTCCCCGTCAAGTATCAATAATACGCTAAATGACAGCAGACCACCAGCTAATGTCGAACCATACCGCCGGAAGAATTCTAGACTACGTAAGTTTATTAATCAATCTTCTTTGACGATGCAGCGCTAGTCAATTTTGACTTAAGACGATATAAGTCAACATACTATCGACGTCTAAAAAAGTACAATCTGGATTGGAAGAAGCGTGTAGAAGGTAAGCTTGTCCTTTCATAATAATGTACACAGAATCATATGCGAAAATTCTTGCAAGTGAACCCCAACCTGAAATAATGGCAGGAAACATGGTTACTCCCCAACAAATTATCGTTCCAGTTGATGTTCCTTGTAATAGCATGTCACCTACACCGTCATTTGATGACCATTTACCGAATGAACAACTGTCTGCAACAGAGGAAGTTGACCAAACCGAGTGCACTCCAGTGGATTCTGTTCGCAACGTCGTCTACAGATGCAAGCTGAATATGACTACTACTCGTATTTTGCTGGAAGAATTAAGACCACATCATCTTGAACTGCCGACTGACCCTCGGACATTGATGAGGACTAAAGACTTTTTTGAAAGGAGAGCAGTTGGTTCTGGAATATATGTTCACATTGGTCTTCGTCGTCAGATTTTATCTCGGTTACAAATTGTCAAATGTAAACTCTCTGTGCCAATTGCTCTTCAGCTGAACATTGATGGTGCCCCAATTTTCAACAACTCCAAATTACAGATGTGGCCAATACAAGGAAAGTTACTTTTTTCGGGCTGTGACAAGGTATTCTTGGTAGGAGTCTACTGTGGTTCGTGTAAACCTTTAAGTATACACAGTTTTTTGAGGGACACTATCATCGAATTAGAAAACATTTGTGCCAATGGTGTCACATTACCCAACAATCATCGCATGGACATTGTACTTAAGGCCGTCATCTGTGATACACCAGCAAGAGCACTAGTTAAGCAAATAAGTGGTCACAATTCAACACAAGGATGCGATAAATGTGAGGCTTTATGCTGTCGTGCTAATCGTTGCATGGTTTTTCCTACTACATGTGCTGCTTTAAGAACAGACATGTCTTTTCGCAACCAAACTTTGCCATGTCACCATAAGGGTAAATCTCCTTTCGAGAGATTGCATGTAGACATGATCACAACTTTCCCTATAGATAGCATGCATCTCATATACTTAGGTGTAGTTCGAAAGTTGATTGGCCTGTGGAAATCCATGGCCACATCTAGGGCAGATGGCATGCATCCGACGATATTGAACACTGTTAACTGCAGACTACTCGGCTCACACAAGTTGACTCCTTTTGAATTCCAGCGTAAATGTCGAACATTAGACGACGTTGACCATTGGAAAGCAACGGAGTGTGGGCTTTTTCTTTTATATTTAGGAGTGGTATACCTTAAGGACGTATTACCACCCTGCTTTTATGACAACTTCTTTGATTTATTCTTGTCATGTTACATCTTAAGTCACCCGGCTTGTTCTTCCTATTACTTAGATGACGTGAAGGGGTTATTATTGAAATTCGTTGGGAACTTTAGGTCATTATTTGGGGAGGAAAACATGGTATACAATATCCATGGATTACTTCATATTTGTGAGGACGTGAAACAGCACGGATCACTGGACACTTTCTCATGTTTCCCATTTGAATCGAACATGCGTTTTCTCCAGACTCTAGTCAAAGGTCCCAATAACCCAGCAGTTCAGATAGGTAAACGCATAGGAGAAAGATGGTTAGTCGAAGCTGATTCAGCTAAATCAGAGATAACACCTAATATATCTGTAAATGTGTCTAAGCAGACTGCTACGTTTGGCAACTTTAAAGTAAGCTCATATCCTCCTGACAATTGCTTTGTGGTAGGCAATACATCAGGAGTGGTTTCAGAAATTGTAAACGGAAATCAGTTTCGATTCCGAGCTTATAAGAATCCAAATAGCTTTTTTAAAAAACCACTAGATTCCAGGGATATTGGGATATATCAGGTAGATAACTTTGAGGGTGACACAAGTTTACGGGCTTTTAGTGAAATTCGGGCGAAGTGCACGGAGCCTTCAAGCCAATGCAGGGTAAACCGGTAAGCTATTATTCTTGACTCATCTTCCCAGCGTTTCAAAGCCGCCAAAAAAACTTGTGGAGAATGCTGCTCCGTTGAGCTACCCTTCTCGGTTGTTGGCTGACCCGGATTTTCAGTTAGAGACACCTCCTTTTCGAAAGCCACCCATTGTGGATACAAACGAAAGGTATATCACATTTAACTTGAAAATTTCATTTCAGCTTGTCGCCTGTCGCTTCCACATCAAATGCCAACATTCCATTTCCCGTGAACATGTAAGTTCCATTTCATTTAAAAATATTACTGGCAGGTGCCCAAGCACTGACGAGAAAGGTCATTGTACATCTGGTTGTTGGAAAGAGATAAGGCCTTTACGCTCAAGCATAAACTCCTTCCAGGCACGAATGGAGTCACGTCTTTCTGACATTGAGGCTAAACTGTCGCAAGTAAACGTTGTCGACAGCATTGACACTAATATCTCGTGTGTCAATTCCGTTCAAAATTTAAAGAGTTCTGGAAGATGGCAGTTAGACAGCGACGCCATCATGTCATCGTTTGAGGCGAAACTTTCCCAAGACGAATATCGTCAGGATGTGTCGGCGGAGCTGTCTAGTTTGGTTGACGGGGACGTGCAAACCTCCGTTGGTCGCATAATGAATGTGTTGTTGGAGCCGAACTACAGCTCACATTTTTCATGGGCTGGCACTAAGGAAAAAAAGAAATTCAAAGACACGAAAACGTGTAACCTTGTGATATGTAGGTGACATTTTTTTTCATTGTTGTCTCTCTAGGAACTATTAGCAGTTTACATAAACTTGATAATGCTGACCGACGTACCACAGTGAAGGCTATCACGGCTTCAATTCAACGTTGGTTCCATAACAGTCGGGACAGACTGAAATCGAGAATTAGAAGAAGGTGGCGTTCCCCATTGGTAGGTGCCAATTTTTTCCTAACTTCATTTTTCAGATCAACGTGGATGTCAACAAAGAAAACCTACCAGACGCCGAAAGCACACGGCTGAATTTTCCTGGTGACTTATAGGATGTTCTACTTCAGAAAGTTATCTGAAGATTGTAAATTTTTTTGCCAAGATTATTAAATATATTTTCAATTAAAATCAACTGCTTTTGGTTAATGTGAGTCGTTGAGCTACTGCAAGTTTATTGTTTTTTGAGACGACCTGTGTGCATAATAGATTTAACTCTGATTTAATTGTCGATTAATAGTTAAATGAGGAACCGTAGACACGTTATCCCAGGTCGCAGTTAGTCATATTAATTTAGGGCGCATAGCATACTTTTTGGGGCAGACTTAGGGCAAATTGCAGACTTTTCGGGGCAGACTTAGGGCAAATTGCAGACTTTTTGGGGCAGACTTAGGGCAAATTGCAGATTTTTTGGGGCAGACTTCGGGCAAATTGCAGACTTTTCGGGGCAGACTTAGGGCAAATTGCAGACTATTTGGGGCAGACTTCGGGCAAATTGCAGATTTTTTGAGGCAGACTTCGGGCAAATTGCAGACTATTTGGGGCAGACTTCGGGACAGTGTCCCACGTAAGCAGATTTACCCGAAGATTTTGCCCCGAAAAGTCTGCAATGCGCCCGAAGAAAATGATAGCTGGGTGTCCCAGGATATCAATACAGCCTATTTTCGTGTGAACAGTCTCTTTGACAAAATAATTCTCTCAATGCTTGGAAATCAACTGCAAATGATATCAGAATCGTTTGTGGCTACCTAAGTTATCATTTAGATGTGCTTTTCACTCTATCTGTGGTTGGACAGGAATTATGGTAAGTTGAAAGGTTATCTCTAGGTGGATTTCATATATATTGGCACTGATTGGTGCAGTGTACTATGGGTTATGTGAATTAAATGTACAAAAATATCTCAACTTTAATAACGTTGTGCCATTGTGTACTAAGCTGACTGATAGGATAACAAACGAAGGTGGTTGTCACGATTATTGCAAGTACAGTGCAGTGGAGAAGGCAATTACTCGTTTAAGTTTCCTTGTTGTTCCAATTAATGCACTAAATCATTACACGGTATGATTGCACGCATGAGTCGCGGTGATTATGAGAACTGAATCTATTCAGCTTTATTATCATTATTATGAATCTATTGTCTGTTTTACAATTTCCACTGACTGTATACTTAATGCTGCAATATTTTTGATCATCAATAGTGGAGATGAATTTCCCCTGAGATTTCCATTTAGACAAAGCAGTACAGATGCGCTGTGACGATTGCATTTTCTAGTTTGCATTATATGACATTATTATCCTCATCAACACAACAGGTCTGTGTACTTTACAATAGTTTAAGTGTTTCTCTATGTCGTTAACACTGAGCATAGCTGTTTGGAGTTCAGGCATGTTCAGCTTATATTTGATGCCTATAGTCTCCTAAATGTGAAAATGTGATTTCTGTAGGATTCACAAAACCTTGTGGACTAGACGTTACTGAGATTGTGGATTAATTTCTAAGTTATACATTTGCAATACTTCATTTCATGTAAAAGTATTTAGCGTGAAGTTGATCTGCAAGTAAGCTTGATGAGAGAATGACGCCTCAATAGTATGGATGTTCCGGAGATTGTCTTGAAATTCGCGTATAATCCTCAAATACAGGAAAACATATGATGTCTATTTATGCATACAGCGTCAACATAAATATCACCTGTAGACTACAGATACATTTATCTGCATGAGATATTACTTAGTGTTAACAGAATCAGTGTATTCATAGTATATGCTAATATGTAGAATTATCTCTTGTTAACTTCATGTTATGCTAGTTCTTACATGTACTTTATTTTTTCCAGGTGTACGGAGGTTGCCGAATATAAAATCAGCGGAAATATCATCATAACTGGGATAGATCGTACACTCACCAGATCGTAGTGTTTTATCCGCTTTGAAAACCGTTTTGCAATCCATCGAACGGATGTTAACACTGGCTCTATTACGGGCAGTCCTAGTTCATGTATTTGGATCTAGTACATCAAGCAATAATAAGCATATGTAACACTTACCCTTAAGAATTCCAGTTTTTTTTAGTTCCCCAAAATGCACACAAGCACAACAGATTCATACTTTTCATGCGGCTCAACCTTATTTGACTTAGATTCTCTCACAATACATTTTTTAAGTGATAGCAGACACACTGATGGTATATTCACATTCTCAAAAAGCTTCAAAGCTTTTTCAACTTCAACCCAGGTTCTAAATTCTCCAGGATTATGTTCTTTGAAAACCTTGCTAATATCAACTTTGATCGTGCCCTTCTCACCAGATTTACTGGTAAATTGTTGCATGCTGTAGACATAAACGTGAAAGACATTAGTTTCCCAGATTTCTACATGTTAAATAACCAAATGAGCCAGCAACAAAACCTGCAACCAACAAATGGACTGGAAACAACTGCTTCTACCAGCCAAACATCTTCATGTGCATGATTTCCATTGCCAATTCATTAACAGCTGAAAACCAACTAAAACACTGAAAGCCGCATAAATACAAGGTATGAAACAATTACACCGAAATGAATGCACTGACCTAGTAGTGAAAACTTTCCAAACCAAAAAATAATTCATTTTAACAGCAACGGAAACAAAAAATGAGGTGAAACGCAACATTTGTGAACAATACGCAACAAGATAAGCCGTGTATAACGGCAGGATAAACGGAACAACAAACGCGTACACGAACAGCTACGGAACTGCAACCCAACATGGCCGACTAACATGGACGAAAATGACCTTCGAGCGTCTCACTCCCCCAATGACCTTGATAAGTTACGGATAATTTCAGCCCAGTTTTTCATTGGATTTAATGTAATTTCTAACATCATTTTGCCGCTTGGTTAAGTTCTGAATTTCCGTGAGCGTTTTATCAAACTGGAGTGATAATTAACAACACAAATTATTACAGCTCAGGAAAGAAATGATATAGCAGTGAATTTATTTGCTGAATTGAACGAATTCATGCCAAACTAAGATCTAAGGACTTCTCAGGTGTGTCAAGAATGCAAACAATGTTCTGAAGAAGTAATGACTTCACGCATCTTCAATTATCGCTTGACCATTATTTTCAGAGATCCTTAAATAAGTATAATATACGCAGTGGTCTGGCTAATCATAATAAAAACGTCATGGTTGATGCAGCATATACGTGTATACAAAAGTATTACTTTTGTATATGTAGGTAAACCTAGATAAACTTTCTTCTTGTCACGAAGATCAGATAGCAGGTACCAGGTGTCTCAGTAAGCAGTGTAATACGTGTAAGTTACATGTTTTTATTCGACATTAACTGGATCTCCACTCACTTCCCGAATTAATCTTAAATTCATTTGGAATAAGCTTGTTGAGCACATCAGTATTGATAGAATACAGTGAAAGTAAGTAAACACATTCTTCTTAAGATTAAGCGATACATTTATTTGATATGATTGTATTATTATTAGTTGTCTATCTAAGTTAATGATGAATTCGTTGCGATAATAATGCCTATTATTGTTTTTATAGTCACTATGAACATGAATGTTATTATTATTGCTGTCAAGACCTATTATTTGTCATAAAGTGGTTGTCATTTTTGCTAAAATATTTGTACAAACTTTGAAAACTACTGCATAACTTGTCGTTAAATAATTTTATCATTTCATGACGCTTCGATGGACCTACTAGATATCGACCAACGATAAGTTGCGAAGTCCCTTAAGTTTAGTAAAAACTATTGGGCTACTTATATATATACATTGTTTGTAAAGTGATTACTTGTAAATGCTTATCAGGAAAATTTTTTTGTTCAGATCATACATGTAATACCCAAGTTAATTATTCTTTTCTTAAACCTTTTCAGACTTATGGAAAAACATATATGTGCCGTGTACGCAGATGGAACTTACTGAAGGTAACAGAGGACTACTCATCTGAATTATCTGTACATTTGAAATCTGATTTTCGTTTAATAAACAATTTTTC